TCCGTAACAATGTTTTGGTCATCAGTCTGCTCGGCTTCCGAATCCATGTCATTGTCTGTCGAAATTCCTTCGTCATCATCTTGGTCATCATCTTGAATCGTGACAACTTCGTTGTAGCCCTTGGTTTCATCGTCAAAAATGCCTTCTTAAACTGTGCGTCACGACTCATGATGATTTAACGGGTTGATATCTCCTCAAACCGATACGTTTTCTGGTGCTCTGAATAGCCCAAAATCGGCACAGCACGGCTTTCGCGTCCAACTTCGAGCGTTTCTCTTTTGGAACGTGTACGAACGCGTGGCAGCCAAATACTTTTAGGCCCGTCTAAAGCTCGTAAGGTGACTTCTCGAGATTTTTAGCACGCGATGGACACCGATTTCGGATAAACATTGCCGTCATAAACGCTTCTCCCCAGTAGTGTTTAGAAAGACCAGCGTGCTCTAACATGCAACGTGCGCACTCCACCAGCGTCCGATTCATACGCTTCGCAACCCCGTTGAGCTGTGCTGTGTATGGTGGCGTATACTTGAACACAATTCCTTTATCCAAGCAGAACTTGGCCATTTTTGCTTATGTATACTCACCACCGTTGTCACTGCGAAGTGATTTTACGCGTTTGCTGGTCTGTTTTTCTGCAAATGCAACAAAATTTGCAAACTAGTCCACCACTTTTGACTTATTCTTGATCAGATACACGACGCAATATCTGGAATTGTCGTCGATGCAAGTTACAAAATAGCGCTTGTCACGAAATGTTGAAGTCTTCATAGGACCGCACACATCGCTGTGTATGACTTCCAAAAGCTTGCTTGCCCGATCCGCTGACGTTGAGCGAAAACGTACACGAGTCTGCTTGCCTAGCGCACAGCCATCACAAATCTCCCACTTGTTTACAGACGCAATATCGATACCAGTAGCGAAATTCTTCTTGATGATTGCGCTCAACCCGTCATGTCCAATATGACGAAGATGCCACAGATATGACATATCCTTATTGATTGTCGTAGATTTGACTGTATTCGCTCAGTCATATGAAGTCGAAACAATCCTTTTCCTTTGCGTGCACCAATCCTCCACTTGACACCTTTTGTCTCGGCGAAGCATCCTTCCTTGCCGAAGATAACAGGCCCAACGTCCTTGGTGAAGCGCCCAACTGAGAATAAATTTCTTGACAACGTGGGAATGTGCCACACATTTGTCAGCACACCCTTCTTTATTCCGTGCGAAGTCTCCATTGACATGACAATGTCGCCGCTGCCGATAGCTTGTACGATTTCGTCGTCTGCCAGTTGTACGTCAATAGGAGAAAACGCCTTGTAGTTCCTCATGAATTTCTTCGAGCTTGTCATATGCTGAGTCGCCCCTGCGTCGACCAGCCATACATCATTCGCCTGAACAGAGTCACTGCTACCGCTAATTGCGAAAAGATATTCACCAGAATCTTCAAATTGTGCAACGTTTGCTCGCTGCAATCGATATCGTTCAGTATCGTTCTGGATCCGCGAGGGGCAATCTGCGACCCAATGTCCTTGTCTCCCGCAATTATGGCACGCACCATTTTCTTTGCTGGTCGTCCTTTGCGCTTCGCATCCTTCATCATAAACGCTTGACG